GTTACTGGGAATGGTACCAACAGGAATGGCAACTGGACCGACTGCGACGTGCCGCTGACACTAGACCCGCACGAGGTGTTTAGCCACCACTTCTACTTCCAAAACGCGCACGCCAACGCCAACGGCGAGGGCAATGGGAAGCACGAGTCCCCGAACGCGAGACCTCACAACAGCCACGCGTACTTCCTCGAGGACGACGCCCCCTCACCAGCGCCCCCTCTCGTACCTGCGCCCGCCTCCCCCTCGGTCTCCACTTCTGCCTCCACCAACAACTCCACCAACAACGCCAACAACAACGTCGATGGCGCGTCTGCCTACCTCACCTACGCCGCGGAACTCGAGAGGAAGATGGAGCCCGAGTCGTCCGACGACGGTGGAGACGACTCGGCGGACTCTGACTTCTTCGAGCAAAGGGGGCGGCGGCCGGTGCTGAGCGTGCGCGTGCCTGGTGCGGGTGGTGAGAGTGGGGGCTGGCGGGTGAAGGGGGTGTGTCCCCCGAGCGCGGTGTCTGCGCCGCAGGCACGGAAGGCGCAGCAGCCCGAAGGAGGAGGGCAGCAAGGAGGGGAGGGGCAGGTGGGCACGGTGCAGGGTAGCGGGAGAGGGGCCGGGGACGGGACGAACGTGACTTCGGCGCCGGGGGGCGTGAAGGCCCAGTGCAGCAACTGCGGGGCGACGCATACGCCGCTGTGGCGCCGCGGGCTGAACGACGAGCTGAACTGCAATGCGTGTGGGCTTTATTGTAAACTGGTGGGTGGATTTTTCTTTTTTACACTCTTTACCTTCGTATTCTTCCTCTCTTCTCTTTTCCCCGTCTCCACTGTCCTTTGTCCCGACTTGCATGTTACCCTCTTGTCTACGCACCTACATCGCCGACCCACTCTCCACTTCCACCTCTTCGCTATCCTTCGCTCTTCGTTATGGTTCCCTTCACCTTCTTCATATCACTCTGCGTCTACCACTTCCTCCTTGCTCGTCTTTTCCATTCCCTTTCCATTCCTTTTTACTTTCCCTTCTTCGATCTCTTCGAGTGATATCGATACCGACTCTTTCCCTCCCCAGCACAACCGCCCTCGTCCCAAGACGATGCGCAACACGGGTGGTGGAGGCGAAGGCCGCGGGCAGTCAGTGCGCGTGGAGACCGTCGATGTTATGGGTACGCTGTCTTCATCCTTGATAGAGTTATGGTAACAATGTCGCAGCGCAATGCTACAACTGCCACACCACCGCGACGACGCTCTGGCGCAAGGATGACGAGGGCAAGACCGTGTGCAATGCGTGCGTACTTCCTTATTCATCATAACTCTCAGGCTGATGAACCCAGATGCGGGCTCTACTCCCAGCTCCACGGCGCCTCGCGCCCGATCTCGATGAAGAGCGACGTCATCCGCAAACGCTCGCGCCACGGTGCGTCTGCATCGGTCTCCGAGACCCCCACCGCGAGCCCCGCTGTCAGCCGCCGCGCGTCGCCCGTGCCTGACAGGGCCGGCTTCTCTGCGTCCGCGTTCGCTGGCCGCGCTTCGCCCACCCTCGCCCCCGACGGCAACACCACACCGCACAACTACGACGCCTGGTCCGAGCTCTCTGCGCTCGGGCTGAATGATGAGCTGAATTCCAACGTGCGGCTTTTCCGTTCCTTTTACTTTCTCTCCTTGAATCTCTGGGAATGATATTGATACAGCGGCCCTTTCCCCACTCCCAGATCGCACAACAGACTCAGCTTTGGAACCACAATGACAGTCCGACTCTACAGTCTTCCATTGCCACTATCGCACCTGGCCCAAGTCACATTCCCCAACGATACCCAATGAATTTCAGCTTCCAAACTCTGCCTTTGCCATCGACATCCTTCACCACAAATATTTCGAGCACTTCCAATGCCAAATCGAAGGAGAGAGCAAAAAAGAAATGTGCTGCATGTAGGGATCACCAGTGCCTGCGCGCATTGGACTGTAAAGGCTCAGGGGGTCGGGACAAGTGCATGTGCGTGACAACTGGTGCCCACGCAGGTCCAAAGCAAAGCAGGCGATAAATTTACTTTAAAATGCATCTGTTTGACGACAGCGTTTGATACAGTCTAACATAAAGGGAACGAGCCGAGCCTTGAGCGTGTAGATTAGATTAATGATTTAGTTTTATCTACACGTTAACTATAAGCACTGTCCGCCAATTGTCAAGTGCACAAACACGAGTTGGCAAGCAGCAGGGCGAGCTCGTACAGGGCACAACTAGAAGCATTGTGTTGTAAAACCGCGAGCGAAAATGCGGCGAAGGTCGAGCCATACCACCTGAGGATACACCATTCACAATTGCAATACCGAGGACCTCCAGGATCAAGAATGACAAATCACGCCGGTTCCTTTTTGGGCGATCAATCTTGTGGCCACAATGTGGCAGTGCCAGTTGCGTCATGTGAAGTCTCCTCATCTTTCCGCTCTTCCGCTACTCGATGCCCACCGAAAATGCGGGGCCTCCGAGGGACAAACAGGCGCTCTCCTCGCCGACCTGCTGCGGGACGATCTCCGAGGCACGCTATGCCGTCCGCGAGCGGCGCGAGAGCCGCGGGCACCAGCCGTGGGTCGTGCGCAAGCTCATGGTCGTTGTCACCCTCGGCATCATGGGGTACACCGGATACGTCTATGCGGGGCGCTTCGCGGTGAGGCTACTGCATGGCGGCCGTCGCGCAGACGGAAGTGAGTTGTTGTTCGCGATGAGATTATGGAGGTTTTGACGATCGCCGGCAGTTGGGCTGCTTGTAGGCTGGTGTCCTTTGTATGCGTGGATGATCTGGGCGTATATAAAGGTGCGTGGGTTTCTTCTGCCAGTTCCGTTCAAAATTTGGGGACGCTGCGATTCTTATTCGTCTCCCTGAATGAGAAACACCTTGGACGAGATAATTCTCTTCTGGTTTCTGACCCGCCGTACCTCTGCTTTCCGACTAAGCCTCCCGCAGGTGATCATAACACCCCCAGGCAACGCCCGCGACGTGCGTCCCCATACCCATGCGCGCAATTCATCTACTCATAACGATGTTAGTACGTTCCCAAAACACCACAGCCGCTCTTCGGCCCGGGGCAATGGCAGCAGCGCCAGCTCTACACCGAACCGGAAGACCCAGCGCCCGACGATGCGTCGCTCGCGGACATCGAGGCGGGGCGCATCGGCGGGCCCGCGTACGAGGACCTGAGCGCGCCGTCCGCGGCGCATATTCCCGGAACGTCGCTGCCCCTGCCCGCCACCAACGGGCACGCTGCCGGTGTGAACGGGCACCCGAATGGGGTCGCTGCGGCCCCGCCCGCGCCGGAGCGCAAGCCCTCGCGGCACCGCACACCGCGCGGGCGCTTCCCGCCGACCACGGCACCGCTCCTCCCGCCGCACCGCTGGTGCTCGCGCTGCTCCATCGTGAAGCCGTACCGCGCGCACCACTGTCGTATTTGTGGGACTGTACGTCGGCTTCCCTACATTCAATGGGCGCGTGCTGACCTCTTTTCAGTGCATATTGAAGTTTGACCACCACTGTCCTTGTGTGTGGCTTTCTTCGCTTCTGTTTCTTCTACCGTCCTTCGACTGCATCTCCCCCTTTTGCCATTTTATCATCTATATTAATTCGTACTCCTTGTACCTTTTGTACCTTGCACCTTCCTTCCCTCCGACGATCCGTTCTCCTTCTCTCCGTTCGCCTCATCCCTCGATATCCCTCCCCGCATCTGCCTTCCCGGACCCTGAAACTAACTAACTCACCCCAGGGATCGGCCAGTGCGTCGGCGCGCGCAACCACAAGGTACTTATCCCCCTTCCTTCTCATATCGAATGATGCCAACCACCCCCCAGTTCTTCCTCAACTTCGCCCTCGCGACCGCCGCGCTCACGCTGTACACCTTCGGCTCCCTCCTCGCGTTCACCATACAGGCGGGCGCGGCGGACGTCGACCCGCAGGAGGTGGTCATCATCGCGCTCGCGGCGCTCTTCGCGCTCTTCACGCTCTCGCTCGGCGGCGCGCACGCGCGGCTGATCCTGCTCTCGCAGACGACGGTCGAGCACCTCGCGGTGCAGCGCATGAAGGAGCGCGAGCGGGAGGGGTTTAGGGATGCGGGGGTAAGGTGGTGGGAGGTTGGGTAAGTGGTTTTCTCCTTTCGTTACCTACGGGTGGAGCGCTATCCCATCGTCCTCGCCTGTATCAGGGTGGGCCGGTGTGGCCACTCGGCGTGATAGTTTTTTTTCTCCGCGTTTCCGTATGCGGGAGGGATGGGGCATGCGCGTCTTCTTGCACCTCGCAGATACCCCGCGAGCCTGCGCCTCTGCGACTCCTCTTCGTGATGAGAACGACAGACAGACATACATGCTGACCGATGCCGCAGGGAGAAGCGCCGCGCGCTCGCGGCGTACGACCGCGAGTGGGGCGCGCCGGACACGGAGGGGAACGTGTGGTGGGCGGGGAGCGCGCGCGCGGGGTGGGAGGACGTGATGGGCGCGAGCGTGTGGGGGTGGGTCTGTGCGTGCCTCTCTTCTCTTCTCTTCTCTTCTCTTCCATGTCCACCCATCCACCGCTAACCGTTCTGTCAGTCCCAATAGGCGCGCCGCGCGGCGACGGCCTGCACTACTCCCCCAACCCGCGCTTCGACGCGGACGGGCGCTGGCGGAGGAGGAGTGAGTGGCCGGAGGAGTTGCGGTAGCGTTTGCTGCGGGCTGCAGCGCCGAGATGTAGGAGCTCTGCTCGAGCCAGCTGCGTGCGTGGGTCTGGGTCGCATGGGGTGTTGGTGGGAGTACGTGGATAGAGGATATGCTTAATACTGACATACTTACTACTGGTTTGGATGGATATACGGATATACGGATGGTGCATGCATGTAATTTTAATGGCAATCATGACTGGGGCAGGTGGTGTGGAGAAGAGGATAAATCCTGCATTCGCAGGGGTACGAACTCTGGGGTGGATACGTTTGCGGCAAGTGGAACTTCCCATCGAGGGCTGCAAGAAAAAAAACGGACTCCGAAAATAGATATACACCGAAGGGGAGTCGAACCCCTGCCGCTTGCTCAACAGGCCGTATTCTTCCCCAATGGAAGGCAAGCATGATAACCGCTTCACCATCGGTGTGTCGAAGCGGTAGCCAATCAAGATCATATGACTAGGCAGGTGCGAAAGAGTGGGAAAGTTTGCACAAAGTCGGGCTGAAGAAAAAATTGAAATTGCACTAAAGCCGCGACTTCAAAATTCCAGGATTGAATGGGCGTCCGCTTTAGGTTTTAATTTTTGACGAAAGGAAGCCAGGTGGCCGTTTCACCATCGGTGTTTTTGAGTAGAGTGTGGCAACAAAGATGACGAGGGGAAAATTGTACCAAGTCTGAAGGGGTGAGATAAATGTCAGAAGATGGACAGAGGGTAGGGAGAGTACTTTTATGTCTGTGAGATCTCGGTGGCCGAAGAACGGCGGTGGTAGTAAAGAGGAAACTGTTGAGTGGGTTGCTGTTCAATAGTGTTCAATACGCTCACAGAATCTTTGTAATCCCAGATCCCAAGGATTCATCAAGGTTGGCGTCGGTGTAGGTCGCACCAGGCATTGAACCAAGAGTTTATCGATAAGAGGAAAGTCCAGCGCTGTGTAAAGCCACAAATTACATTTCAAACCACAAGGTCTTCCATTTATGATCCAACTCAACGACGTGTACCTCGAATACAACCAATCAAGCCAGCAAATTAACCACCAAGAAGATGTCAATACCATTCGAGGACTCCGAACACTCCAGTAGCCAGCCTCCGGACAAGCACATCAGAGAACCACTCAAAGAAGCGTATTCGGGTCATTCAAATGAAAGGATTCAAACAGCCTTACTTGTGTATCAACGACATGGGCCTATGGCGGTCAAAATGCACATTTATTCTTATTTAATTCTTCCCTAGCTTTTTTTGGTGTGCCCCCACTTTTTCAAAAAAAAAAGTGACTTTTCCACAAGTATTTTATGGTTGCAGGGTCCCTGCCCCAACTTTTGAGATTTTGGTTTCCGACCAAAAAAAGTTGGGGCACAAGGTGTTCTACTCCCATCTTTTTTTTTTGCATGTCCCCCGCCCCATTTTTTTTTTGGTTGAAAACTTTTTTTCGGCATCAAGTGGGGAGTGGATTTATAAACAATCCCTGCAGATCAAATGTGTGAAAAGCTCGTAGTTGACCAGTGGGAGCACCAACATCACCGGCATCGGTCCGATCACAAATGATCCGGTGTCACCTGTGTGACATGACACGTCGACGCGTCGACTGTGAGCCACAGCATGGGGGACAATGCGGAAAAATTCAAGGTATGGCATTGCACTGAGATGTCGGATCTTGGGTCTCAGATTCCACCAGATGCAGCCCCTGAGGTCCTCACCATTTCCCGTGTCCAATTCTTGGACACAGACTCGGAAATAAGTACTGGGTTTTGATGGCAGTCTGTATGTGTGAATTGGCCTTGCAGATGATCTTGTTTGTGGCATTCACTGCATGAAGAGGCTCTGGAATGTTTAGTAGTGCAGAATTGATCTGGAACTTGCTCTGTGCCAACCCAAGGGGCTACCAAGATAGGAAATTTCCATATTTGGGGGGAGGGGAGAGGTCCCCTCGGTCTCGAAAAAAAAAATCTATACCTTATTTCGCGGCCGGGGTTTGAGTGTTTCTATAGTAGTCTGTGCACACAGGGAGTCCACTGGGGGTTCAATAAAGTGGATAAGAAGGTTGAGGCACAGTTGGGTAGATGTTGGCCTATGTTGGCCGCATTTGGCGATGTTTCCATACCAGAAGAACCAGCATGGTATTCTTTGGTGATGTTGAATTCACAGGCCTTACCACGACAAATCAATTTCTCGTGCTTGAAAATTTTCTCTTGAATCAATGGATCTCCCAGTCAACCCGGACGAGTTTCGTTCCCGCGGCGATATCCAGCGCATGATTACAACCTTGTGATCACTCCTCACGTGCCCAATGGGTCTCGATATTGGGGGCTTTCACATCACTCCCGACATTGTCAGCGAACACTTGCAAGTCATTGGTATCGGCCAACAACAGATCGATACATTACTGACCCAATTGATCATCAAGATGCACCCTTTGCGTACAACCTGCTGAGGGTGCTGTGGACTCTCCCTGATGCGCCTGTAATGGCTAGCCCAAATTTCATCTGTGCCCGGGTGGCTCTCCAAATCTTTGGACGACTTGCTCAGCATCTTGTGACACAAGGTAGGTAAAACCTGTTGTGATTATTCAAACCTTGAATTGACCTCTGTGTCCCACAGAAAACCCTGAGGCAGGAGCCATCGGGTCTGAAAACCTTACCTGAGGCTGCAAAAAATATGCAGAGGGAACTCAGAGTCATGGTGGAGGTGCCGTAGGAATTTCCCTAGATGTCGGTACCATACAGAGTGTGTGGAAGGGGGTAAAGCAGCACGTATAGCAGAAGTTAGGGTCATCCCCAAATGGGAATTTGATCGCATTATGTGGCTGTGAGGGGGGAGGGGGTACCCTCAACCTCTGAAAAACAAAAATCGATGTTGGGTACATTTTTCAGGAAAGCGGAGCCCCTTGTGCCAACCTAGATCTCACTTCAAACAGATTGATTACAAGCCTTTGATTGGCCAACTGCAGCCCTACCTCAGGGCTTAGGTTGGGTGGGCAGATGATGGAATTTCCAGTGCTAGACATCATCTGCAACAGCTTGAATTTTTCCACATTGTCTCCCATGCTGTGGCTCACGATCGACACATTGACATGTTGTGCCACACGGGTGACACCGGATCATTTGTGATCAGACCGGTGTTGGTGCTCCTGCTGGTCAACTACAACCCTTTTCACACATTTGATCTGGAGGGATTGTTTATAAATCCACTCCCCACTAAGTGGGAGCACACCAAAAAAAGTTGGGATAGAATAAATGTGCATTTTGACCGCCATATGGAACCATAAAATCCTTGCGGAAAAGTCACTTTTTTGTAAAAAAAAAAAAAGTGGGGGCACACCAAAAAAAGTTGGGGCAGAATAAATGTGCATTTTGACTGCCATACATATGGCGGTCGGTTACCGACTTTATTATTCCTGCACAAATACACATGTTTCCGGGTAATTTTAATGGCAGAGTTACATACTGTCAACTGAGCGAAGATTTTCTGGCGCCTTACTGAAGAATAACACAACATCAGCACACTTTATCATGCAGGAAGCTAACATTCTGGAGCCCCATATTAAAGTTTGAGTGGCCTGAGAACATTTTCCGCAGAAATACATCTTCACATCCCTGGAATATTGTTTTTGAGCTCCTGAATATATATGGCAGTCAAAATGCACATTTAATCGGCCCCAACTATTCTTGTCCGATTTGGATGTTCCCCAACTATTTTGTCCTTTAGATGATCATGCCGCAACTTTTGGCCCCACCGGGGATACCCAAAAATAGTTGTGGCAGAACGCGTCTCCCCCCCGACTATTTTTTTTTTAACTTTTACAACTTCTTTTCATTCTTTTCATTGAGTCACCAGGAGTCCTTCTGCAGTGGTCAAATGGCTATTGAGCTGTTTTCCTTGCACTACTGGCTGCCTGAGATCCCCGAGTCCACATCTATAGGCAAATGTTGTCTCCGCATCTGAGTCAACTTGACATTCCCTAAGGTAATGTTATTCCTTCCATCTATTTCTTTACCTACAACTGCCTGATCCCACAGAAGTACTGTACATGTCATCAATGGACTATGATACTCGACTGGTTCAAGTGTATCCAGTGTATGCGAGCTGATATCAATATGATCCCCTCTAGGTCACTGACCTGCAGCCCTGGCTTTCATCCATTCTTTCTTCTGCATGTCGCAGCTGGAGTCCATATAGTTTCCCTCCAATGCTACAGAAGTAAAAGCTAATTGATCACTGGGAGATGTGGTGAGGTAGACATAGAGGATTGTACTGAGGGCTGTTGGGATCTCATGGAGACTTGAGCTTAGGAGCTTTGAACCAGTACACCGATTCAATGTCCCATAAATGGGACCATGGCCAGTTATAGGTGATGAGAGGCAGGGAATAAGATTCAGAATCTAATGCATTACCTCAGGAAATGCAACGTCGGATGAGGATATGATGCCTCCTGTTAGTGTTCAACACCCGGATATGGGCCAGGGTATCTCGGGAAGCAAATAGCACAAGGAAAAATACCTCAATAGCCATTTGACCACTGCAGCAGGACTTCTGGTGACTCAATGAAAAGAATGAAAAGAACTTGTAAAAGTTGAAAAAAATAGTTGGGGGGACTGTTCAGAAAAATAGTTGGGGGGGAGATGCGTTCTGCCACAACTATTTTTGGGTATCCCTGGTGGGGCCAAAAGTTGCGGCATAATATGGTGGTCCGTGTGCACTTTTAATAATCCTACATAAATACATGTGTTTCCTGGTTATTTTCAATAATCCTGCACAAATGTGTGCATCTCCTGGATATTTTACTTGGTGAAAATATTTTTTCTTTTCTGAACATGGTCCTGGCCTTTCCCTCAGCACCCATAACTTTTTCATGGGTACTTTTGTTTTGTTATGGCTCAGAGGTCATTCCCATTTAGGAAAGGGAGTCAGTTTCAATTCTGTTGCCATTCCCCAGAGTCTTGGACGAGTTCATGGGTGCCTAATCATTAACTTTCACCTAAGAGATAGTACTGGCCACGTTCTGGGCTCTCACTGGGATAGGCTTGGCCTCATCTGACAAGATAATGGTGTAATTTCACTGCATTGGGCTGATGAGGGGACAGAATGGGGCTAGGATTACCCCAATAACAGCTTCATGGATGTAGTATTGAAGCCCTCAACCCAAATTCTGATAGCAGTCCTCTGGGCCACAAGACAAGGGCAGTTTTTGACATTTTGCCCCACGACTTTGACCCACACGTGAGCGGCATATCAGCGGCCATTCACACACCCAGGATGGGAACCTTTTAAGGTCGCTTAAAAGACCTATGGAAAGAATGTGTATTTGTAGTCTAATATATCTTGATTGATTTAGCGAGATTCAATGAAGTAAGAAAGGATTACAGACACAACTAGAATTCATAGGCCTTTTCGACTTGACTGATTTCTATCTTATTCACCATGTAAGAAAG